GTTGCTTCTATATGACTATGTGAATTACTTGGATAATAATGATCCTATATATAGTGTAGTGGTATTGAGGTAATATCCCTCTCCCTTATACCCTATGCACTTGAGTATGTATAAAGCATGTATGTATGTATGTATGTATGTTTATGGTAAGCTTGTGGTGTTGCTTGAAAGGACCTTCTCATGATCACACTACTATTGCAATGTGAAAGGTTTACTCGCTTGCTAATGTTTCTAAAGGTGAAATAAGAATTCTCACTTAAAGAAATCTATGAGCTATTATGATGATATATTGACATGAGTGTCTAATACACTCTCTTATGAATATGGACTTAAGTAAAATCTTAATATGACTTTTAAAGGGGAGTTGTGCGTAGCACCGAGTGGATAGGAGTATGAGATGGGTTCCTTCACGCTAGTAGTTGGGTTCCCAATACGGTGTCTCATGAAATGGAAACCTCCACGTTAGTAGTTAAGGTTTCTAGTAGCAATCTCCCTATCTCATAACTATGTGCCCACATAGGTCTTAGCTAGTGGATCCACCTAAATAGCTAGAATGTACATTCTACCTTAGGCAAGTAGAACAACTCTTTTCGATGTGGGGGTAGAACACCTCTTTTCGGTGTGGGGGCATGGTCTATGTCGGTTAATGCAATCTTTCACTAAATGATATTGAATGAACTATGGTAAGAACCTGGACTTTAACTAGGACTTCTTAAGGGGTACTACTTAGTGTGAGTGGGGGTATGGGACTTCACTTATACATTGCACAAGTAGACTCTAAGAGGGGTTTTGGTAAGGTTCTCTTATATTGTGATGACTTATGAATAATGTATGGGACGTATGTATGGATGTTATGAATATGAATGTCTTCACTTTTATGTATATCGTTGGTAACCTAAATGTGATACTTAGCATTTGGTAGGGTTAGGGGCCTTACCTTTGCATTGCACTAGTGTGGCTTTGGGTTGCTCATATGTTGAATTGGCTTATGTTTCTTTGTAGATGTGCATAATGGTTTCTAAACTTAACTAAATGCATCATTTCAACTAAATGTCCCTTTTATGCATGTGTTAAGGATTTTGTGCATGGTATCCATACTTAGTACAATTCATTGTGCTAACCCATATTTTCTACTTTACTATGAGAGTAGGTTCTGATCGTTGATACTTACTACTTCCTTCAATGTGAAGCTTGGGTCGACTATTCCCTAGGCTTGGTGAGTCCTCAAGTTCGGGGACAAGTTGCTATTGATTCTAGTTCTTAGTTTCCTTCTATATTCTAGACTATGTTGTATTTCCCATTGTTGGGAACTTTATTGATGTAAAGGGCTTTAATTTGTCCCTATTTGTACTCTTATGTTTAGATGGTGATTGACACAAGTCTAGTTTTCTATTTTCCTTATATGAAGAAGTTGATTTCTATTGTAAAAGTTTTTAATTTCTCTGTATTTTGCTATGTCTTTATGTGATGATGACGCTAAGGGATTGTATGCGACCCCTTCGGGGTCAATACCCTGTGTCACGCCTAGGGGGTACTCTTGGGTCATGACACTTACATACCTTGAAGAACAAAGTTCTTGAAGAAATTTGAAGAAGAACTTAATTAGAAGCCTTCAAACCCTAACTATCGTCATCTATGAAGTTTACTTTGAGTTGGGGGGGTGGGAGGGGTTGAAAGCGTAAAATAAAAGAAACTTGAGTACTTGGTGGAATATATTCCCCCAACTGAAGTTAAAATGTCATGACTTGGGCTTAAGAAAAGTGGGAAAATGCAAAAAGAAACCGTACTTAAAAAGCTTCGAAAATCTTCCATAGGGCCATCTATGGTTCGTGGTTTATTCTACGGACCGTAGATCCCATCCCTAAAATTCATATTGAAATTTTAAGGCTGAAAATTTTATTCTACGGGTCCAAACTATGGTCCGTAGAGGTTTTTACGACCCGTATATGGGTCCGTAGGAATTGGACCCCAAAATTTGACTCCACTACTTTTTCAACAAGCCAATAGTATGGGTCGTAACTCTTTCTACGATTCATAGAAGGGATTCGTATGTCACTGACTCAGAAAACTCTTCTGTGGTAGTCTCTGGTGAAATGATAATTAACTTTTTACTTCAAACTCTGAATGAGGCAAACTTGGTGGCATTGGAAAGAGAATTCATAGATCTTTAATTAAATAGTCAGGAGCCAGTTAATTCATTATGTGATGAGAGATATTATTGTGTGAAGTTGACCTAAGTAGAATCGTATATCAAAACTTAATCTGTAAGGGAGCTTTCAACTTAACTTTGTACTACGGGATTCTTGTGATCTTAATTCATATTCAAATCCATTCCAACACTAAGAATTGACCTTAACACCTAAGAATAATTTAAGAATCACCTGATACAACCTTATACACAAATGAAGAATGGTTCAGATCTTAGTTTAGAAATTGTTGGGGTGTTACACCTTTTTCAGCTGTTATTTCCCCCATAATCCTGGGTATGCTTATTCATCAAAATGACAACTAAAAAATCTTACTATAAATAAATCTTCAATCATAGGTTCCAAATATTTTATAATAGAAGGAGATTCATACCCAACATATATCCCCGACCTTTTTTGGGACCTATCTTTGTACGTTGTAGTGCAGTAACTGAAAAAACTATACCGCACATCCAAATATTCTAAACAGGGAAATGTTCGGCTTTTAACCAAAAGTCAATTTTAATGGAGAGACTTTATGATATCTTGTGGGTCTGATTTACACAAGACTGTTGCATGCAAAACAACATGACCCCATAATGAAATGGAAAGTTTTATTCTCATAAGCATTGGTCTAGTAATTAATTGGAGACGTTTAATCAATGATTCGGCTAGACCATTTTGAGTATAAATATGAGCAACTAGATACTTAACTATTATCCTAGTTGATATACAATAATCATTAAAATCTTGGGATGTAAATTCTCCAGCATTATGAAGACGAATTTTCTTAATTATATAATCGTCAAATTGTGCTCTCAACTTTATTATTTGAGGAAAAAATCTTGCAAACTCCACATTGCGAGTTGATAATAAGTACACATGCCCATTTCGTAGATGTATCTATTAAAATTATATAATATTTAAATGGTCCACATGATAGGTGAATGGGCCCACATAAATCACCATGTATATGTTCTAGAAATGTTAGGATTTCAATTCTCACTTTGATTACTGATGGTCTAGTAATCAATTTGTTTTAAGAACATGCAATACAACCGAATTCTTTAAATTGAAGAATGTTTTGATTCTTCGAAGAGTGTCCATATAAACTGTCAATTTTTTGTGCGTCATACAAGAATAGTGATTAGCCCAACCCGTCATGCCAAATAATAAAATCATTTGAGTTAGTAAACATTTGTTTTACTATGGGGTGTGTTTCAATCATGCAAATACTTGTGTAGTATGAGCCGAATGAAAGAACATGTAACTTTTCAAGTATAAACTTCTTACCCGACATCATTGTAGTAATATAAAGCTATTCATTTTTTTCATCATTTGTTATCTCAATATGATAGTTGTCACGCTCCATTTTTCTCAAAACGGGTTATGCAATGAAGTAACAACTCTTTAACCGTTTGGTTTGAATATAAGTTATGCTGGGATAAGTTATATTGGTATAAATTATGTTGGGATTAGTTATCATGTGATGAGTTATCCTGGCATTATTTCTTATTGATTGTTTGGTCTATTGTAATGAAAATAATATCCATTGCATACTTCCTAAAAACAAGTTATTTAATTTAAAAAAGATACCCTCTTATTTAGCTTTTTGTGTATATTTTTTTGGTAGTGTTTTAGCTATTCATTCTTAAAAACAAAACTTCTACCTTATGTAGCTTAATTATTTTTATGTATGAATTCTCATAAATTTTCTTTATGTTTAACTATGTGTCAAATTTGGAGGTGCCAATACTCCATGCTAAAGAAAACTTATAATATAATCACAAAACTCTTTTAAATATCACATTTACTATAAAACTGTATAAAAATGAAGCAGCTTGGCTCAAAATTTAGTAGCGAATGATGAGAAATGTAGTAGAGTTCGGCCTCAAAAAATGACAACTAGTACAACACTAGTTTGCATCCATACGCAATAGTAAATTTGTTTAAAATGTAGCCATAAATTTACTCGAAACGCCTAAAAAGTGGAGCAGTTATTCAACCTCAAATTTTCTCCAACACAACAGTCATTTGGATTCGAATGCAACATATAATACGCCCAACACGTATTTGGTCTCAAATCTTCTAAAGTTGTCGTAGATATGTTGATGATGTTAGGTATAAATTGCACATCCATGGAAATTCCTAATGCTAATTAGGCTTTAATTAGGGGACATTGCACTAGAATTAGTAGCTTGAAATTACAAAACATGAACCTTATCAGCTGCTAGCAAATGGGAGCTTGGATGGAGCTGGAACCTATGTTGCTCGGACTTGCCAAAACTATTGCCGCACCTATGTTGTGTCAGATACTCTAAAGATGCACTACTTTTGAAGTATCCAACACAAACCTCTTGATACTTTTGAAGAGTCCTAGAAACATAGGCTAGAACTACATATCAGAGAGCAACACAGTTAAAAATCATTCCAAATACTAGTAGTAGTAAGGAATTCCTACTATAGGATGAACAACAATGGATCATATTAACGGATAATTTCATCAGTTTGACTTCCAGAAAATAGAAGTAATTATAAAAGGAATTTGTTAGCTCATAATTAAATGAAACTATATGAAAGTTAAATTCTTAAAATTTGATGAGTCAAAGTACTTATAGTAAGAACGTGATTCTCTTGTAATTATTAACTGCTTTTAAGGACAAATCTGAACACAATGGCATATTTTAGAGCAGAAAGTTTCTTAGAAAACCAATTAGTATTATCTTGTTAATAAAGAAAGAGGAGAGAATCCTAGATGAACTCAAAGACTAAATCGTAGATGAGCAATAATTACTTGTTTGAAAAAGTGAAGTTGATACGCAAATTAAAACATAAATAAAAGATATATGAACTAGTACTTAACACATGAACCTTACTATTTTCAACCATTTCCTTCACTTTGTTTCTACTAGTTAGTTCTCTATGTGAACTTGTAGCCTCGAATTTGAATTTACTTGCAACAGATTCAGATCAGCAAACATGAGTGTACATGGCTGCTGAAGTAAACTGATTCATCCAGATAAGATGCAATGATACTGAATCTAAGTAAATGCATGTTACCAAGTGAACATTCTTCTAAGGCGCGTTCTTTCTAAAGTAATGGGGCAATCATTACTCGACAACTTGACGCTGACAGGTGCAACTGCTAAATCAAACACTCCACTTTTGCTAAACCAACAGTGAATATCGGTGTTTCATCAGGCCACAAGCTCTGTGATTTTATCTGGGGTGATGTTTCAAGATAAATGGCATGGCTGCAGGACTTGATATTTCTAAACTTCCAAAAGCTGTCGAGTCGGACCTAAAATAGAATAACATAATTAAATGATAACTCTTAATGGGTTAATGATTAAATCAATAAAGAAAATAAGTAAATCTTCTAACCCAAGAAGATTCGCACAACAAGGAATTTACTACCTTAGCTAAGTTATGAGAAACATCATTAAGATATCTACGACAACAACCATGACCACACCTATTTGGCCAAAGAGCATCAGTAATGTCAATTCCGTCTATAAGCTCTAGCTGAGCCATTGTACTAGTAGTGTTTGACAACATGCAACCAATATCAATATAATATCTTTTACAGTATTCTCCTCGCCCGAGAACGAAACTCTATTCTACATTAAATGACAAAATGCATCAGCAATCAGACCAAATTTTCTCAAACATACAACTCATTTTTAGCCTCAAAGAATTATATGAAATACAACAAATATTTGACCTTTAAGTTGTGACATTTTCCAGCCTTAAAATGCAGCATATTTTGGCTAAAAACTGCCGCCGAATAATCATCAGAACTACCTCGTAAGTTAGTTTGAAGCTTCACTAGATGTACATTGTCCATGGACCTGATTTTGATGCAACAATTATAGGTGGCTCTAGACCTCCTTTCAACTGATGCAGATAAATAGAGGCATCAGTAGGATGTACTTCTATTTGGAGAACCCTCTAATTGTGCAAGTGCTCTAAAAAAATATCTTTGATCAGTAGAAATTCTCTAATAATTATTTCCACTCGTGAAGTAGGAAAACTACTACAAGTAGCCCAACTAATTAGATTTCTGCTCGGAAAGTCTCACTTTTGAAAATAAAGTGCTTCTCATAAAAAACGATTCCATAGCATAGTTCGTATAAATCCAGTTATGAGAGAAGACATGACAAGTTCAATATTAAGCTAGACTAAGGGATATAAGTTACATATTTGTCCCAAATGGGTATGTGCATCACAGTGTCTTCATAGATTCGTACAACATTAAAATTCCCTCTTCGAAACCTCAAGGAATTACTTGTTCACCAATTACAGTAAATCACCATAGCTAACACACAACTAGTGATTGAAGCCAAACCGTTCTTCCTTTTTTCAGCTGGCATATCCATATTAGCTCATCTAGCTAAGGAAAAATGGGCCTGGAATAACAAAAACTTGCATATCCATTCTAGGCCAGAAACTTGACCAAAATTAAAGCAATCCCTACAGCAAACCAACCAAAACTACAACTAAAACAACAACTAAAATGAGAGTAAAATTTCAGTAAATATTTATCACGCTCCGAGTCTACACCCTAGAGGTGGCTGGTACTCAATGTAACACCCCGCTATTTGAAAGATCTAGAATTAGACAGAACCATTTTTGTAAATAATGAAAATCTGAAAATTGGCAAGTTATGTTAAGTATGAGTTTTTGGTCAACTTCAAACGACCATAACTCTCAGTACAAGATGAGTTAGGTGTGCCATAAGATATCAAATGAAAGCTCTTCGAATTATCTTACCAACGCCACAAAGTTTGCTAATTTTTGAGCTCGTATGAGGGAGATATATTCCCATTTGAAGTCGGGTTGTTCGAATAAGGAAAGTCACTCGGATTTTAGAGGGGTATTTTGGTCTTTTCCTTATCCAATTAAGTTATTTCATCTTTAGCAATTAATTAGGGGTCTAAACTGAATTGGTTCTGTTTACGCACTCAAATTTCACACGAGGGTTTTTAGAGAAAGAACTCAAGAGAAGAAAGGAGGAGAAAAGGTCAAGATTCATCAAGTTCTTGCGATTTTGGTTGCGGATTTCGCCAAGGATTCGATCCTAAGAGGTATGTGAGTTCACATAGCGTTGGGTTCATTCACCCACGTGTCAATCATGCTAATTTTGGCGTACTTTCGTCCTAAAAAGTTGAAGATTTGATGTTCTTGAATTGTGTTCTTGAAATTAGCTTTCGTTCTTGAGTTAAGATGAGATTGATGAGTTCTTGAGGAAATCATGTCGATTTTAGAGTTGTGTTTGATTAGATTCTTGTGTACATGTATTGGGTAACCGAATCTAAAGAGAAATTGAGAAAAAGAATCGAATCTAGACAAATTAAGGTCAGAAAATGAGAAGAAAAATTCGTCAGAATGTTCTGGGAGGGGCTGGGGCGACGCTCCCCCGATGCTCCAGAAAGTCTGGGGTTCTGGGGTGACGCTCCCCCGATGTGCCAGAAGTTCTAGGGTGGCGCACCAGCAATGCACTTGAAATAGGTCTCTGAACTTTAGGGGTTGGCGCCTCGCGCCAGCTCTATGCTAGGGTCGCCTACCCCCACCCATTTTTTGTCGTTTAGCCCGTTTAAGTCCTTCTAAAGTGTACTAACACTTCCTATCAATTCTAACTACTCTAAATGACTTCTAAACATCTAGAAATCATCCATAAACATGAACCTTGAATCCATAAATTAAAATTCAAGGAAAGTTAAGAGCCATGTCTAGAGAGTTCTTAGAGTCTTTTCAAAAGTCTTTTACAAATGTTTTTAAACTTGTTTTAAGACTTGAGCATTGAGTTTAGTCAGAGTAAGAGTGAAGTTCATTTTCTTGAAAAGATTATATGGGAACTAAGTATTCCCAAAAAGTAAATGTTTTCACATTTAAACAAGAGAGGAAACACTGAGTTCCAAGAGTTTGTGCTAGTTTTGAGTAATAATCTCAAACCACAGAGAAAGAGTTGTTTTTAAACATATGAGCTGAGTATATTTTGGGAGTAGTATTGAGCA